CTTTTCCCTTTTTCTTTTTCTTTTTTTTTTTGCAGTTTTGCTCACGCGGTGGCGAGGAAATCAAACCCAGCAGAAAATCAAACCCAGCAGACAAAGTCAAAAACCTCCCACAGATTATAATTTCCCAATTTTGACCATGGTTTTAAAACACATTGCAATAAACATAAAAGAGTACATTTAAACACATAACGTCTGCTCAGCGGCAGAAGCTTACACACACAGCTGACAGACACACACACAGCTGACAGACACACACACAGCTGACAGACACACACACAGCTGACAGACACACAGAAATGGATCCACGCTTTTCAGCTCCTATGATGTCCTCTTTTATCACTCATTTCACTTATTACTTCACTTATTACTCTTTAGAGGAAGAGATCGTGATCAACCTTTATCTTATCTCTTCTTTTTCTCATTTTATCTTTTTTTCCTATGGTGGACCGCTCTCAATGCTTTTGCGTTTCTTGGACAAGTCACAGATTGGCTAATGTGTTCTTTTCCTGGGGCAGCACTCCCCGAGGGTAAAACCGACAAAACCTAGCCTTTCCCTTCCCCGTGTCCGGGAAGGTCGTGGACGGCCGATTCCCCCTGCAACTAAGCCAATCAACCTTTTACTTTAAGTCTTAACTCTTAACTTTTAATCTTTAACTTTAACTCTTAACTTTACTCCTATGACCAACTCGAAAGCCTTTAGACAAACCAATCAAAAACAGTACGAACAACAGCTGACAATCAACAATGGCTGACAACTTAAGACAACTCAGTGACAAGCAGATAAACCTGGGAAACAGTACAGTGGTGTATATTAAGTAACAAGTGTCCTTACCTTTCATGTGGGCCCTACACCAGAGTACTGTTCCGGAAAGTCTGCGCCTGAACGGCCAGTCCAATCTCTGCTCATGTGTCAACACAAAACCATCCTCTGCTACCAACTGTTAAGGATGAAAATCCCAATTGATGAATCATAATTTGTATCGACACACGGAGCATAAAATCAGCCAAGAAAAGCATTCAGACTTTACTTATTTTATTAACTTTAACAGATGAGTGTGGCACCTTCAGTCAT